AGTTATACGACATCTCACTTTGCAAGGCCCAGCGCTCTTGTCGGTCGATTTCCGTGCACGGGACTGCCACATCTGTGATTGTCCTCTACGGGTCTATCCTAAAGACCGAAGGGAAGCCTTCATCACAACTTCTGCATGGGTTGCGCCTTTGACGTGGCAAATGATATGTGGACACGGTACACCTATGGCTGCAAAAATAAAAAAAAATATTCGTGAAAACCGAGATTTTTATCCCTCCCTTGCTTTATTAGTGGCACTTTGTAACGAAGGAAAACCGCTTTGGACGTCGGATTCCATTTACATTTTGAATGAAACACAGGCACATGGTCAAGCGGAGTGATCCATTCTTATCAAAATAGGGTTGGTTACAAGTGGTTGGCTAGCCGTCACAAGCGTGGTTTTAGAAGTATTACTAGGTTGTAAGGAAAGTTCTTAGCGTTTTTGACCACTAACTTCAAATGCACAGATCTCGGCTCCGGCAAAGCATTTCCAATCGGAATAAAGATCATTACAATTCGCACACTTTTGATAATAAGAAGAAAGTGCAGATCATGTCACTTCAGGGAGCTATCCAGTTGGTCGAAAAGTGACAGTCGATTGGCAGGAAGTTTGCTGGTTAGGGATGCCACAGCAAAGTTTTGCAGCCCAGCTAGTTCAGCTTGTGAGAGTTGGCTGTGCGATATGCGACCAAACAAGTCCGTGGAGCATGGTCCCAGCACCAAATGTTGAATTTTTTGAAGTTTCCAACCTTTTGCACTTGGAAACGTCGAATATTACCGTCTAGTTCCAATGCGAGCTTCTCTACATTTCAATAGAAATTTCTATTGCTCAAAAACTTATGTTAGTCTTTATCTTACCATCACTGTCATCATTTTAAAGCTATAGAAAGCAGCTGCGCAGCACTTTTTTTTGAGTAGGCTCATCTTCAAGGCGAGTTTGCGTGAAAAAGCAGCTCCTTAAAAATAAGGTAGAGGTGGAGAGTGGTACAGGGATGAAGAAAAACAATGAGAAACGGCCCAGAACCCGAGAAATGGACCCTTCTTTGCCTTGATTTCCGCATTGATGCGACTCTCATCGATGCTGCCCTCTTCAACGCTAACGCTCTCTCTGCTAAACGGCTAGAGTCAGACGGCGAGAAGGAGGGCGGGCAGCCGCGCGGAGATGGCCCTGCTAAGCCACTGGCGCATACTCTTCACTGCAAAATGCGCATGGTGGCACCCTGAGGTGGGGGGTGCCTGCCTTTTAACTAGGCATATATCCCTTCTTCCACCCTCTACATTCTCGTGAAATCCTCCTTTATTGTCGTAAGGTGCTCATGCTCCTCTCCGGTCTAGTAGTTTGAGTTGGAATAGGGAAGTTGGACGAAGTCGCCTTTTACCTTTTGAGCATGATTTGTTCGACGCTTCAATAAAATGGGAAAAATGTGCGGAGCAAAACTGATGAACCGTGAGTCAGAGCCGTCACGTATGATTGCGTGTACCTCGGCAATATATTTTGTGCTAAACTCTCCACAAAGTTCTTACGTAGACTTAACTGGCTTACGTTTCGGCGGGATCGCCTTCCCAATAGTGAAAGGTTGAGGTAGTTCGTGACTACCCAACCAAACGCCTCCTCTACCCTACAACAATTTATACCAAACAGGTTATCACGCAATCGTAAGGTGGGCTACTTACCGTAGCGTAGTCCGGTCCTCGAGACTGGAACAAGTAGTGGGACACACAGCAATCCGGACTAAACTTGATCTAAAACTTACTGGTGGAAGGCCATCCCTATATAAGGTCAGAGCTCCTCTGTGAACGTAGGCATTCGTTTTTTTCTAGTCAATTTTTGAAGCGGTTACCTAAACCCAAAATGCTACGAGGGTTTTTCGCGATACGATCTGATAGTGAGAGGCGCGCACCAAACCCAGGCCGTACCCCAAAATTATTTCCGTTAGTTTAAGCGAAGAATACGCTTCAAAATAGGATGTTAATTGGCAGAATTTTCTACAAAAAAACCGTAAGCTCCAAAAATTAAGGCATTCAAAATTGAAATATCAAAGGCGACAAGAACTTTCCTCACACCAAATGAATCGAAAATTTCCTACCAAAACGATCCATTCACCAGGCAGTCTGGAATTGCCATCAGAATTATGGGATATTCCTTCAGATTAAAAACGACTCAATCGGTGGTACAAAAGTCAGGGTATATACTCCGGAAAAGCGGCGGAGCCGAGCCGCTCTTGTTTTCATTCATGGCGGAGGATGGTCAACGATGAGAGCCGGTACTCTGCTCTGCGTTATTTGCAAGTCAGCACGACGAACTTATTCTGTTTTTAGACTACTATGACGATCTTATGAATGTTTTCATTCGTCGGCTAGGAGTGACCATATTCTCGATCGATTATCGATTAGCGCCAGAGTACCCGTTCCCTTATCCTGTTGACGATTGTGAGGCCGTCGTGAGCGATTTGTACCATAACAGGTTTGTAGCAGGTTTGTATTAGTCCGGAGCAGTTTGACATTTATTGCAAAGTTTTGTGATCATATGGCTATTGAGGTTTCACATTGTTCTCTGAGCAAACATGACACTTGGGCAACCCGTGTGGAGTATGAGCTGAGAGGGACGTGGGGAAATTTCTCGTTAGTGCGTAACACCTCAATGAAGGAGTCCAAATTCCTGAGTTTCGTGAGGGTTCAGGGCCGACGGCCAAGGGTGAGACATCGAAAGATTGAGCAGTACCTATACTCTAAGAGCAATCTAGCCGCTGAGCGAGCATCAGGCAGTAAAGACAGGTGTACGCGGCATAGATCAATTAAGGGAACCCACTGGAACCCTTTACGATAGAATGTGCTCCAGGACGCTCGAAGGGAAGGTGTTCCAGGCGGTAATAATATCTGCAATACTAGCGCAGAGAGCGACGGCCAGTGGGTAAGAACCATGAGGTGTCAGATGGGCAAGCGTCCTAACGGGACTAGAGAGCTTCAGAAATGAAGGCGTCCTAGCGATTATGTAATTGCTCCTGCCCAACTGAAGACGGGGAACAATGCCCGAGTATGGACTCGTGCTTAGAAGGCCACAGAGTCTCGATAAGAGCAGCAATGGACTTCAAGGCAATGGTCACGAGGAGCTCCAAAGAGGAGGTAGAGAGATGTCAAGGAGGGAACTCACTAAAGTCACTTCCACAGCAATAGATCGTTGGACAGAAGCAAGTAGCGAAGTCTAGCAAGCACTGCGGATCCTGCGACTGCGCTAGAATGAACGCGAGTGACCAGGAAAAGAAATGTAGCACCTTCAAGAGAAACCAACAATCCTGCAATACGTTGCGTCAAATACGCGCGGCTTGAAATCGGAAACTCAAAATTTGGGAGGGTGCTATTATTTTGGCTATTTTGCTATTTTTATCAGCTTGGTCAAGTGCTGATCCATAGTGGGCGGTTAGGTAACATTTAGCGTGTTTCGAAAACGCTTTCAGGCCTTTGAAAACGACGAGTTAGTCGAAACGTCAGGCTGAATAAAGATTCCACCGTACAAAACCTGTGTGGCACAGAACAACTAAATAACTGTTTAAGATCAAATGCCCAGGTTGTCAAGAGCGGCGGACATGGAGGCTATTATTTCGATTCTAGTTTTGCAAAATTTCTCACATACGCAGACAAGTCATTTCCTTTGGGGTGAAGGTAATGAAAGAGACAAGAAGAGGAAAGCTTATACGATCGCTTCATTTAGTGGCCCATTCAGCGTAAGGTAAAGTCAGCGGACGACCCACAGCGCGTACTGTAGTGGTTCAAGTTAAATAGAATGTACCATTGTACGTCCTACATCGCACATCACGCTGCGACTCGTCCGCTGACTCTGCCTTCTTGCCGCGCAACGGGTCCTCCTTTCGGGTGCCCCCCCCCCTTCCAGCAGTTCCTGCCTTACGCGTCGGTTGATAGTACTCAAAAAGAGGTATTACCGTATTGTATTGACTCGAAAATCTACGATTTCATATCATTGAGTGATGATCACTCCCTACACAGTGTATACGTAAACACCCCTAGCCTTCATGCATCGTATGTCCTTTATAAATTCAATCATACACTTTCGAAGGACAATAAATACAGTAGTTCTTCCGATACTATGATTACAATTACTATCTTTAATTTAGCTGGAAGAGGTTCGATATCGATCGGGACAAAATCTGCGTTGCAGGAGATAGCGCTGGTGGAAATCTTGCAGCTGTTGTCACGCAAAGATTAGCACGGAGAAACGAGAACTTCATAAAGGTCAATTTCTATTACTCTTCAGCTCATGGCTTTCAACGCAGCAAAAGCGTAAGGGTAAATGCTCGGCGTGTGCGTTTGGTCTTCATTCTGCTCAGCTTGTTGAAGCGACTAACGTGCTGGTTAGGCCGGTGTCAGACTTTGCGAATCCAGCGATTCGCTAGCGAATCGCGAGTACGAGCGTTGCACCAGCGGATCGAACGATGTACCAGCGACTCGACACTGTTTGAAAGTGGCGGGACTCTCTCTCGTTTGCACGTTGACTCTCGCCACTTTCCGAGCTCTCATGGCACCCATCTCTCGCTCTCTCATGCCCTCGTGAGCCCGGGAAAGTGGCGAGAATCAACGTTTAAAGGGAGTCCCGCCACTTCCAAACAATGTCGAGCTGCTAGTACATCGCTGGAACCGCCCATTCCAGCGATGTACTAGCTGCTCGACACTGTTTGGAAGTGTTCGATTCGCTGGTGCGACGCTCGTACCCCGTGATTCGCAAAGTCCAACACCGACCTTAGTGCGGAGTCCAACAGTATTTTGAACTAATCTCACAATGTTTCAGTGTCAGGTCTTGATCTATCCAGTGATCCACGTTTTCGCGTTTCAACTGCCTTCCTATTTGGCCTACTATGAGAAGTTTGTTCCAAAGTTTGTAACTAAATGCGATTGTGAGGCTACTGTGAAATTTTAAGATATAACGGCACCTCGCTTTTGAATCCTCGTGCTATGGCCAGATGGATTCTGCTGTATCTGGGATTGCCTGCTCATAAGAGGAACGTCGAACTGCTCACCTCCAATCAACACATCTCAGAGTAATGTTTTCAGAAAGCATTTCATGGAATATAACCAGAATTGGTGAAATTTATAGCATTTTCCTGAGGAGTAGAAATGTACATTCGAAATACACACGAACTCTTTTGGCAGCGGGCACAGGGAGAGCTGCAAGACTAGACGCGTGCGCCCGCGCGGCGGAATGAGAACTACGCTTGTTTGTCAAAAGTACAGACCACGGGCACGTCGCAGCTGAAACGAACTGCAGGGAGTCCGGGACTGCGACAGCAAGTCCGACTTGTTATCGGGCATCAAGAGGATTGTCCTGTGGTAGTTTTACGAAGCATCGGGGGTTTTTCCATTAAACGAAAATTGCAAGTTCATACTGTGAAGGCGATGGTGGATTCAACAAGGGTGTAGTGGTTGAATCGCCGCACGCAGGATATCGTAGGGCCTGATAATTAGGATATTTTCAAGACTTTTGTGCTGAACATATGGAAGCGGCGTTGATGCTGTGCCGGTCACGAGGATTTGCGTGATGGAGAAGATGGGAAAAAAATTCTGTGGATTATTTGACTCTACGTTCCCCCACTGCCCAAATGTTCCCCAACGGTCATTCTCATCAATTTGTCGACTCCTCAATGTTATCCGACCTATCGCTCAATTATCCATCTCTACTGCTGCGATCGCTACTTATCCCTCCACCTTGATTTATCCATACCCCGACTCGCTAAATACGAATGGAGTTCTGCACAGCAGTGCGACCATTCCGTATATCCCTTCGTTCTCGCTGCGCCGGTACAAACATGTTGCATCAATCTCGACAAGCCTGCAGCAAAGGTAACGATCTCTGTAGTTGATTCAGACGAGGATCTATACGAAATGAGAGGAACGAAGAAGCCAAGTTTGCATGAAGCATCAGCCCACCATCGTCCTTTTCTCTGGTCATCTGATAGTAAGAGGAAAAAGGCGCGCTCTGCCTTAGAGAATAGTGCCGCAGCCGCGCATAGTCCGCTTAGGTGCTCCTCTGAGTAATTTCTAGTCGAACATCACTTCTCGGAAGAAGTTTTGAATCGCCTAAGGACGTAGTATTGTGTTAAGACCCCACGAGCAGGGGAGTCGCAATACAATTGGCAAGACACGACGGTTAGCCCTTACCACAGCTCGTTCCAACTCGCGTTGATGTCGCGCGTGAGCTGCGGCGTGTTCTTCCAATGTAGTTCCAAAAGCCATAAAACTGCAGACTGGATCATGATTCGATTACGGCGCCCACAGCGCGATAAAGGAAGTATTCGAGATAAGGCAGTTTCCGAGTAACCTGATGATGGCTGATGTGATACATTGAGTTCGTCGCGGTAAAGTCGACAATTTATTGTCCAACACCAAACTTGGGTAATCAAAGGAGAAAAGGCAAAGGTCATGGAAGCACGAGTGACATCAAAATACACCATTTGGAAGGCAAAAATTAACTCAGAAAAGAAGCCTATCTGCACCAGAAATGGCTGCGCCAGTGAGTGCACCGACCAATGCACCAAAATGTATAACTAACTACTATTAGGGGCACAAAAATTACGTCTAGAATTGAACACTGAATAAATTGCGACGGAAAGAAGGATATTATTATCTTTAGGAAAATTGCTTCCTCGCCTGAGATTCGGACACTGGTTGGACATAGTGTCACGCCTAAGACGACTTCGACCTACTCAGAGGAGCCCAATCAAGTGTGTTCATGATCCGTTGAAGAATTGAAGAGATAAAAGTTAATTTTTTCAGGAAGATGAAATCCTTCTACGAACGTTCTCCGTGAAGGGAACTGATCCTGACGTTTCTCCTCTGTTGGGAGTCAGGAATGATCTACCGCCAGCCCTCGTGCTCACTGCTGAATATGATATTTTGAGGTACTTAAGACGTGAGATGTCAAACTAGTGACTCAAAAAATTCTTCTAGAGACGAAGGGATACAATATGCAAATAAGCTAGAAGAAGCGGGAGTTTCCTGTGAATGGAAACACTACAAGTCAGCATACCACGGTGTCTGCAACATGCCATATAGTCCGGTTCGACGAGATATGACTAGAGATATTTGTAAATTTTTGAAAAATTATATCTAGTGGAAAGTCATCAAATTGCTCAGTATTGAAATACCTCGATTACAGTAATTGACAGGTATCATTGCTAAGTATATCAAATGTACATCTCAGATGAATTGAATCAACGAACGGTTAGTGTGTGAAACGATTGCTCAATTAGAAATGTACAGTAGTAGCATTTTCGCATGTTTTATATAATACATATGCATTTAGATAAAAATTTATATTTCATGATTCGTTTGTAACGGAAGAAGTAATTTAGTGGTGTATGGCACCGCTTGCTGCACGATACAGGGATCATATCCATTAACGGCCTTCCGTCAACTTGCTAAGTACCTGTAAATGTACAAGTGTTCAAAATCTGCAACGTTTTCTCAAAAAGCAAAAACTTTATCTATAACAAGATTTTAGTGAAATTTCGATGCAACACTGATTTCTTCTTTTCGAGGCCATTACTTCCTGCAAGAAAAACCATCAGGGACACGCTAAGGCTGGTGTCAGAGTCCGCGCGATTCGCGCGACGGATCACAGAAATCACAAGTGCCCGATCAATACTGCAAGGTGCTCTCCAATCCCGCCCATTTCTGCTTGATGGTGATGGCTGAATGACGACTGTTCATGATTCCACTTGTTTCATATTCAGTGTTTCAAATGTTCAAATGGGGCACTTGCGATTTTTGCGATTCGCGCGAAACCTGCGACGGATCGCGACTCTGACACCAGCCTGGAGGGATTTTGAGAATTCAAATTATGACTTGTTTTTGTTTGTTAACTGCTGTTTTTGGCCGCAGTTCGCCTTGCGAATGTTTCACAAGAATGCTGGGTTGTGAACAAAACTTTCGCCCCAGGCGGGACTCGAACCCGCACCTCTTGCTTACCGGGCAAGTGCGCTATGGTAAGTACACCATGAGAGGATGAAATGGTGCCCCGGTAGCGTAACTGGTAGCGCACTTGCCCGGAAAGCGAGAGGTGCGGGTTCTAGTCCCGCCTGGGGCGAAAGTTTTGTTCACAACCCAGCATTCTTGTGAAACATTCGCAAGGCGAACTGCGGCCAAAAACAGCAGTTAACAAACAAAAACAAGTCAAAATTCATTGCTAAAGCTTTCAGCCTCGCGGTCATTGCCGATATCGGCTAACCGGCTCAACACGTTATACGTGTGAGTGCTGAAAGCTATGGTACGTATACCATGAAAAGCTGAGTTGGAATGAAATGGTGCCCCGGTAGCGTAACTGGTAGCGCACTTGCCCGGAAAGCGAGAGGTGCGGGTTCGAGTCCCGCTTGGGGCGAAAGTTTTGTTCACAACACAACATGGTGAGGGTGCTTTCTAATTCCTTTGATGCCGCGTCTGTGTTGTTTAGTAAGCAATACGACTCACCTTGGTGAATGACACAGTGGGTGCATAGCAAGCGGCTTTCCCGATCAAGCAAACAGAAAACTTCAGCTCCATAGAATGCTCATTTTCCATTCAATTGTCGGTGACAGGTTGGATCATTGATGAATGTTTATGTACATGTATGCATACACACTTTACAATGTCTTTGGTTGAACACTTTACATTGCATGATTAGGTATCAGTGATCAGTTTGGACAAAAATGTTATTAGGGAGAAGGGCATCGTACGCTTAAGTTCGTCCCAGCAATGGAGATCCTTTTCTTCACAGGAGACGAAGCTTCGAGGTGAGTGACCCTTCTTTCAGAGGAGTAGGCGAACATTATAATGGGAATGTTTGTCGTAGTCTTGAATGAGAGCTTTCAGAGCTTAGCGCCTCGATGCCCCACCTCAACCACAATTGAGCCAGAAATGTTATAGTTTGATGCTAAAGAAACACGAATTGAGCAGTATAGGATTGATATAAGTTAGCGTGCCAGACAGGCGGCCGCGGTGCAGCATCCATTAATGATTGAGGCGCTAGGTTGTGTTGGAACCCATTGCGCCCACTATGGCGACAAAAGTGTCCGACAGTTCAATTTGTACAAAATAAAGATGGAGCACGAAACATTATCGAAGACTGGAAGTGAATCGATCAGTCTACGGAACGTTTGAAATGAATGAAGCAGTAAATATATGAGCATGATAAAAGGGATTTTAAATGGTAGTGTCTATGTAATTATTCTCACAGTGTCATTTTACAACTCCACCACCTTCTTGTTCACCACAATACGGATTCCTCTCAATCCATACAGGACTAGGCGTGTTCCGCCGGAATTTTTCGCCGTCACCAACGACGGGGCGAGTGTGGGACACATTTCGCTGTAATAAGATCCGCATATATATCTGAAGATCATATAACAGAAAAGCGTCGTAGAAAACTTACTATGTGATACTTCAGGTACATTTCGTTCTGAAAATGTAGATCGGCCCAGGTGCGAGCACCAAGATATGCGTTGAAAACAAGCAAGATAAGTGCTAGTGCCACCGACAAGTGTGTACCAAATCCATGAAGACCCCATCGCCAGACCAAGAACGCAGACAAAAATAGCACCGTAATCTGAAAACAGAAATCGCACGAGTAGTGCGTTCTTGAAGAACATTGCTGTCTTGGAATGCTCCTCTCATTTGAAATTCATTCACAATCGTAACGACATTTGAATAAGGTGGCAGCGAAGTCTGGGACGTTATATACTAGTCGAACTCCCACGTTCAAAATTTTAACGAGCTTGCAACCTGGAGGTCCGCGTTATCCCAGTGATGTTGGAAATCGCTTCTATGGCACCTAACGACCTATCAACGAAACCTGAAGAAAGCTTCCCAGGTGAGCTGCAGCTCCCTGGCAGGGTGGTTCCTTGTTACGCGCAGCCGTAAAACGCGCAGGAAGGGTCCGACAGAAAACGGACGCGGAGGGGCGAAATACAATGTGTTGGAGAGACGCAGGTGACGCCCGTTATGCGCAGCAAAAACTTCCTCCGGAGAACTTTTTGGCGCTGGCCAACTTTAAACTGGGGTAATGGGTAAAGTAAAATGCGAAACGGGATGGATAGGGAGAAAATTTAAGGGAGAGGCCACAGTTTTGAAGAGTACGTAGACGAGAAGAGCGTGTGGCTTGACTTGCCAAGGCGTAATTGAAACGGGTACGGGGATTTAGGCAGCTACGCAGTCGCTAAGCAGCATCGCTAAAAGCCGATGTCATAGTTTGCGAATCGAGCGATTCGCTAGCGAATCGCTGGATCCGAGCGTTGCGCCAGCGAATCGAACGATGTACCAGCGAGTCGAACTAGGTACCAGCGACTCAATAGTGGCGGGACCCAACGTTCAAAGGAAGCCCGCCACTTTCAAACAGTGTCACGTGACAGTGGACGCTGTTTGAAAGTGGCGGGACTTGACAGTGGACACTGTTTGAAAGTGGCGGGCTTCCTTTGAACGTTGGGTCCCGCCACTATTGAGTCGCTGGTACCTAGTTCGACTCGCTGGTGCATCGTTCGATTCGCTGGCGCAACGCTCGGATCCAGCGATTCGCTCGATTCGCAAACTATGACATCGGCCTAACAGTGTCATTTGCGCGGATATTTATTTTTGGGAGCGTAATCCATTTTTGTACGGACGCTTCTTTCTGACTTCTTCATTTTGACTTGCTTGTTATTTTTCAATTATTAACTATTAGAAAACGCTAGTTCGCCTTCATAGTGGTGACAAAAGACGATTGATGATGTTCGTTCTAGGTGTTCTAGATCAAGTGTTATCTTAATAAACATAGTTCTACTTGTTTCAGTTCTGAGTTTCGAGTGCTGCTGCGCGCTGCAATGGTGCAATGAGAATGGAGGGGACTAGTAAGCCAGCGGGAGTGTAGGCATAGAATCATGAACATTTGAGTGGTTATTTTTAATATCATGAAATGAGTAAGATAATGAGCAGTCGTCTTTCAATAGTCACCATGCAGGAGAATTGGCGTTTGAAAATAGCTAATAATCGACAAATAAATAACAATCAAAATGAACTAGTGATTGTGGTGAGATCTGACACATACAGAATGCTAACACTCAAGTGAATGATGAGAAAGCATGCCCAAAATTAGACTGCATTTTATGAATCGCACATCTGAGCGTAGCATTACTTTGCACTCAACTTGCTAACAGGAGAAGAGATCATCGTTAATAAACGAACCAATCCCCGTTGAAACCCATCAGTACCTGATGCTTATATGTTCTCAGCACATCTTCCAAGGATGCTGCGAAGTGCTCCGTGGTGTACTGGCAACGATCCAGCCTTGCAGGCGTCATCTCCAGAGATCAATTCCGGACAGGGAGGAAGGATGTTTCAACCTTCCTTGTTCCTCGTTTACGGGGCACTTCATTACCTTCTTCTTCGTGACACTGATGCGTACCTTATGACGCAGTGGCATCCATTTACGCTGCCACTGGAAAAGTAGGCAGATTGATATCGCACGGCATGGGATTTTTGCAAACAGGGTCATCGCAATATGATTAGCAACCCTTTAGAAGACTCGGCTACTGCTCCGTGGTGCTGTGGCAACGATAGCGGTTAAGATCCGCAGTTCTGCGGGTTTGAGTTTTATGGAGAGATGAAGTTTTGCTTACGATGTCGCGGAGTGACACGTTTCAGACCTGAATTATCTCCCAACTCCACATCGTTCTTTCTCGGTTGCAGACTATTCTTGACAGCCAGTTTAGGACAGATAACTACCGTCACTGATGTATCTATATATATCGATCTCTACCTTATGTAAAAGCCAATTTTAAATTTGGATTACTTTCATAATCCACGAATGGCATAGCAGCAACGTTGCAGCTGTGTAAGGACAGCGTTCACACTTTTGAAAACGACGAGGCCGTCGAAATTCTGGCCAGGATGAATGCTCTAGTTAAAAACCTCATGATGAAAGTATAGAATACAACAAGATCAACGAAAACGAGCTTCCAGGATTAGAGGACTTGGACTGCAGTGAATCTCAAGGTATTTAGCAACGAAACGGACATGACACCAGTTGAACGATACAATCCCCGTCATTCAACAGCATGAAGCTCAGAGGTAGAAACGCCTGGTGTCGCTGGCTAAATTTTCGTTGTACAAAAACCGATGTCGTGCTGGAACACGAACGCCATTTCATTATCGTTGCAGACTAAATGTTATAACCAATGTCATGGTAAATTTACGTAGAGCAAAGACACGCTGTGTGGATAAAGCCACTGAGGGAGTCACCAAGAGCGCCTTTGATGGTTTGCAAGCTCAGTGTTCCGAGCGGGCCACATCACCATCCTGCCTCAGGAGAGCAGATGGATATGGCTGTTGAAGGGATCAGAGTAGAAGTTGTGAATGGCTTTCTCCAGTGCCCTTCGAAATGGAGCAACTGTTTTGTCCGAACGGTCGTCCTGGTCTTATTGCGGACGCACAAATTTGAGATCGGAACTGATCGTGAACT